AGTACAGTGTGGAGCTTCTCTCGAGGAAAACTTGTGATTGCTCAGAGATTAGTCATGCAGAGACTCTGCGAACAAGTCTCGAACTCTACATATTTTGTAATATCTTGCTGCAGAAACAGCTGTCGCCTGTCAAAGTCAGACGCGAGATGCAGCTTTAGCCTGCTGTGGAAAAAAGGAGCTCGCTCTGCAGCATCAGGCGGCTTCAAGACTGAAGAGCTTTTGTGGAAAAATGTGCTTCAGTCAAATGCCACTTGAAGCACAGTTGCATTTCAGCCTAGCCTCTGGAAGGGACCAGCCTGAGCATATCTTTCCATGAGCATCATAAAAAGTATTGCTAATTTTTTTTCTGGAAATTAATTACATTTTACTTATACCTGAGTCTTACCTGCAAAGTAAGGGAAAGATCTTACTCCACAGTGCAGTTTCTCAACAGAAGGTTTCCTGGCATGCTTTAAGCACAATACAGTCTCTTTTGCTTCTGGCCCCCAAGCAGGTTATTGAGCATTTTTCAACATCTGCCTGGACATCCCTAGGGGTTTAGAGTACAGCCGTGCTAAATGCCGTGCGAGGCATTGGGGCATCTGTGTCTCTTCAGAGTTTTTCAGGAGTCCAAGTCCTTCTGAAATCACTGGGAGCCTAAAAATCTGTCTGAGTTAGTCTCAGGTCTCTTCCCTGTGGTTATTGGATAAATTAAAGTAAATAAGGGAGATTTTGTGAGGTTTTTTTCACTTAAGCTTTCTGCTGTTAAAGACAGCAGGATTGTAAATCATCCTTTACTGTAGGAGCAATTGAGTCTGGTTCTGGATACAGCAGGAATACCCAAAGTAGATGAATATCATTTTGCATACTACTGTTTTCAGAGCCCAAAATACCTTGTATAGGATCCGAGGTCTCAACAGAGACCGGCTTTAAAGCAGATTTTTTTTTTTCTGAATAACTGTTTTTGGAATTGACAGAAGTCTCATGTCCTTTTTTCAGTTTGAGAATTGGTCTCATCCGCATTTAATGCTTTTGAAGGGTGACTGCATAATTTTCAACAATTTAAAAAAGAAAATGAAACAAATCAATTTTCAAGTTTAGTCCATTATGCTTTCTTCCCTTGTTTTCTTGATTGGAATGTGAGGGTTTCCCAGGAGAGTTAGAGGTGAGTTTGCATTCTTTTCCTTGAGAAAGTTGAATGAAGCATCTTCTGTTTTCACATGCTCATCATGCTAAATATAATAAAGAAAATCTTCTGAATTTTTCCCAAATGGATGAAATTGAATGCTTAGATTGGATAAAGCAAAGAAAGATAGTCTAGCTCTCCTGCTGAAGACTGATGAGTTGGCATAAAACCTAGATGTATCCTTTTGTAGGTTGAGTTAGCGTATGTCCATGCAAACTCTTACCTCTGGTTCCTAGGACTCTGAGTCATGGGGGCTGTATGATTCTGTTTTTTTCATGTTACTTCATGTTTTTCTGGTTACTTGCACAAAAAATTGACCTTTTAGAAATATCAGCCTGTTATCCTTGCTATTGCACATCATATTAGGATATAAACGTATAAAAAATTTCAGAACATTTTCTTCTATGACTTTTTTGACTTATCAGTGGTTTTGTTTCTTTTTTTGTATTTTCTTTTGGTGAGGTGATTACTTAATGAATACATTTAATTGGTTTTGATCATCCGTAATAGTACAGCCACAGACAAATCCAAGTAGTGAGGCTCCAATTCAGAAATCTGCATTGAGTAGTGATTTGCTTCTTTATATGCTCAATTAAGAGCAAATAGACAATATAATTCCTTTAAGCAGTATTTTTAGCTTGAGTGGTAACATGGGTTTACATCCGTATGATTTACTGTCCCTGTCTGTCTGTGTAGTCCTCTAGTTCATTCTCTTTACACATGGCAATTACCAGACCACAAATGTATTTTCAGGCTGAACCTTTCACCCTTTTTTGCTGTAGGAAAAACAGTTACATCCCTGTTCTTGGTGTTTCGGGGAATCATGGTAGTGATTAAATTGCCTCTCGAGATTCCTATACTAACAGTTTCTAGCATATCTGTAAAAGAATATTATTAGCATCAGTTATACTTAATGATTCAAAGTCTTTAACCTAATTGTAAACAAGAAAAAAAAGTTGGTAAGTTTTTTTTTTTATTGTACTGATGAGTGCACATGTATGTGCTCCTGGACCTGAAGAGTTTGGAGTCTGAGAACAAGGTACTGGGGTTACCCCCATGTGCTTGAAAATGGGTTTGCAGTACCTTGACCTGAGACTGTGTGATTGATGAACAACCTCTCCATAGTGTGAAGCACCCAGAGACAAAACATGAGCAGATGTTGGCCTTGTGGCATTTGGGCTTCTCCTTATGTCAGATATGGGGCTTTGGGCAGCTGCATGGTGCTGCAGGCAGACTGCTGGAGCAGTGCTGGATGATGCTGGTGGGGAATCAAGCCTATTCAGTGGGATTCTATCCTGTTTTTTTTTTTTTTTATGGGGCTGAGATGAAGCTGCTAAACTGAGCAATGTCAGTGGTGAGCAAGGAAAAGACAGGTGGCCCCACAGACCTCCGGGCACAGCTCTAATAAGCTTGCACTGCATTTCTGGCTGGTTTTATTTTGAATTTGCTACTTAATTTTAATAACTGAATAGATATCCAAGTTGGAACAAAACTGAGAGTGACAGGACCCTCAACATCCCCCAGAGCTTCAGCAGTGGTACTCATCCATGGCCTCACACATGCCAGCTGAATCCTACGTGCCCAAGGACAGGGCAGAGTGGAGACACAGCATCCACTAGCAGGAACTTGAGACCCTCTGGGACTTGCAAGGGGAGCGTGTGCTGTGCCTTGGCAGGGCAGGAGTGCACACAGCTGCAGGACACTGTGGCATCACCAGGCAGCCTCCATATGCCTGTCTCTCTCCTACTCCTCAAAAAATTAATATGCTTAAAAATAGTTTAGCTGCAGGGATGCACTGTGAATTTCCTTAGTTTAAATGAACTGGTGCAGGGACTATATCCCCAGCTGGGGTTAAACAGGGCATGTATTGTTGCCTGCCTTTTTACATCTGGGAATAAGCTTGTAGCTTGTTAGCAGTACCTAGCAAGTGGGAGAAGAAAAGTGGCCTTAAACGCAACTCTGGCAAGGAGAAAAATCAAATGGAAAATATGCATTTTTAATACGCCACTGGGTAAGTATATAATAGCAGAACAACATTCGTTGTAACCTGATATCCCTCAGGAATGAGGGAAAAGCTGACTGCTTGCTCCACTGAGCCAAAAAATAAGAAAACATGTAAGTGCAAGTGTGTAGTCAGCAGCGTAAGGAATAATCTCAGCTTCAGAAAACCAAGAGCAAAGCTGGAGTGTTGAATGTTAAAAGGCTAACAGTTTTACATGGAAACACAACTTATTATTTTCAACCTATTAGTAGGGCTCTTTCCAGTATCCTAAAGAAATTCCAGATCCTTCTGCATTTATCCACCCACGAGATAGCTGTTTTGGCAGAATCCACGGAAGTATTTCATGTTAGCCATCTTCTGATTTCTTTCTGGAAACTAAACAGATTTTGGATGTAAAATTCATTACAATAACCAAAATGTATTTCCTAGGGCAGATGTGTTGTTTTCAGAGGTCCCCTTGTCTGATATTTTATCAAGCCCTCCAGAACAGCTCCACAGTTGCATTTCATTTGAGTGCCACTCAGTATATACAATAGGTTTGGAAAAGCAACCTGCATAGCCTTCAGGCACCTGGCAGAGTACATTTTTCGCACAGCATGCGGAGAATTAGGCATCCGGCTCCTGTGGCTGACGATGTGCACAGCTTCTCATCCAGGCTGTGCTGGAGCTGTACCGCTTCCTGTCCAGCTGTGAGTGCCATGCCACTGGGAATAGCTGGTGAGCAAAGGGCCACAGCCCCTGGGATGTCAGTACAGCAGCTGAACGCGTGCACATCCCTGGGGAAAGGGCAAAGGTGCTGTGAGGTGAAGACTCGTGCATCAAAAATATGCTCCCCTAAGGAACTGAAAGTATCTGCAATTATTTGGAAGGAGGCTGTACAGTGTCTGTCATTTTCAAAAGACAATGATGGCAATTACAGTTAGAGGGAATTGCAGATGTTCTGTGAAAAGAAATGAACAAGCCTAAAATTGCTTTCTGGGAAGTAAGTCTTCAAGTTGTCCAAATCACCTGATTTTTCTGCAATGCTTTTCTAGGCAGCATTTGAAAGTGGATTAGAAAGTCGTAAATATCAAGGCTGATCACTGACTATAGGAGGAAAAGAAAAAAATTGCTCTTTGGGCTCTTCCCAGGGCAGCCTGGGCCTCCCTGCTCCACACAGTGCTCTGGGATCTGCCACATGGCAAGGGCTTCTGCAGAGACTCCTTCAGCAATCAGACCATTTCAGATGAGGGCAGTGAAGGCCCTGTCCCAGGGCAAGGCGTTACTTCCCCACCCTTCCTTAGCTGAGCTGTCTGTGGGTACCACTCACTTTCAGGTCAGTGGAGTGGGCAGTTCCCATATGTTTTTGTGTCCTTTGAGGAATGCTTGTTTGTAACTGGGCACCCATACCTGTCACCCCTGGAAGAAGCGTCCCATATTCACACACGATGTTTTACTTCAGTGATGATGGAGCTGTGGCCCTGGAGAGTACCCTGTATCTGCAGAACTGCCATGACATACTCAACTCTTGCCTAGGATTTGTCTGCTCTATGTGGTATAGGTATCCAGAAAGGACTGTTGTTGATGCTGTGAGTCGAACTTGGGAACCATCACCCTTCCTAGTCTCCATGTCAGATGAATTGTACTACTCTAACTTATCCTGTCACCCACACCACTGCTCCCCATGCAGCCTGGGTGCAAGGTAGTGCCCCTCCTCCTCCCCCATTAAAACCAGCCCTGAGAACTATCAAATGCCAATGCTTTGGGGTAGTCAAGGCAGCTTTGTAATAGCATTCCTTGTCCTCAGGAAGGGATTTATTTTCTTCCTTGTAATACTGTGGCTTTTCCCTAAAGGATTACCCTCTCACTTATTTGCTGGAAGAGCGAGGTGCTGGGGAAGGGTATTCGGTGAGAAAACTGATGGCTGCAGCCACACGAGTTGTCTGCAAAGAGGTGAGTGAGTAGTGCGGTTGTGCCCAGAGGTGATGCCTCCTCTTGGCAGCTCCAGGGAGCCTGGCTCCAGCTGGAGAGCCAGACCTGCCTGTGCATCTTGATGCCCTGGCACCGAGGTGGGCAGTGGCCAGCCCCCTGGGTTCTTTGAGGGTGTAAAACAAGAGGTGGCCTTAAGGCTGTGGCATGAAAAATCCCTGGTACTTCACAAACTGTGCACATTACGTTGTTTTTCTAGGTTACCTAAATTTTCCCCTCAGTTTCAGATGGAAGTGAAACTCTTATATGCTGTCAAAAGTGGCAGGGAGGTGGCGGGGAGGGGGGAAGGATAATTTTGCACAGCAACATCTTTTTTTCGAACGGGTTATTTGATCAAGTAACTGCAACTTTCCAAGTGCTCCCCTAACTGCCCTCTGGCCTGTACCATGAAAGAAATAAACACATTCAACTTCTTTTTGTTGCAGGAGAACATCTGTGACCCATTAACATCGGATCTGGGCTGCGCAGCCAGCTTGGAATCGTGGTTTGGGCAAATTTGCCATTTGCTTCTCCAGGAGTTTGGCATTGCTGTTCTCTAATATGTTATCAGCATGTTTATTTTTGTTATAGTAACACTGCAGGACTTAAAGAGCTACAACAATATTTTACTGTGTTTTAGTCAGCCTCTAACAGTAGTGTTTCCAATTTGGGTGTATTTTGAAATGGTTTTTACTTCCATGCTGTGTTTTTCAATGTTATCAGAGCATCTTCCTCCCTCAAGAACAACTGCACACATGTGGAACTACAGCATCCTTGACAACCAAGCTTTCTTCTGACATATTGTGGTACTAAACTGATTCTGGTTGCTTTCTACTTCGACCAGGCTTTAACCCTTTGGGCTAAAATTTCCTACCTGACTCCAACTAGTTTATTTTCATTATTTTCAGCTGCAGTGAAAAAGGGCTCCACCAGACCGAGGAGTGAGGTTAAATAAGACTACATTTTACCCCCATTAAAACCTTCCATAGCTATTGAAGTTGAAAATCAAGCCACATGGTAACTCTGCCCTGGCTCATGCCATCTCCTTTTCCAGTCCATTGAGCTTTGCCAGCAGCTGTGCCCCGATGAAATACTGTGGTCTTATGAATGAGATGCAGCCTGTGAGACATGACATGACTCTCCAAGTGCTGCCAAGGTGTGCCCAGCTTCTACTGGACAGCATTTGTCATGCTGTGAAATCCTATTTCACTGTTTTATTTCTAAACCCATTCAGGCACCATGGCTTTTTACAAAGCTGGTATCTATTACACCTGTTTGCTACAGACTGTCCTGTCAATCTACTTGTGGGCATCCTGTACCTGATTTGATCCATAGGGTCCTGTTTTACATGGATCATTTCTATTTTTGTGTGGGTCTCCCTCTCCTTGTCATTCTCCGTGGTGGTGCAGAGGTTGCTGCCAGTGGCTGAGCACCAGGGGTTTTGCCGGGGAAGCCCTATGAGACAGGAGAAGGAATTTGTGCCACTGCAGCTGGAGGATGCATGTGACCCTTCACTGCCCGAGTGAGGTGACATGGGTAGGGTTGACGCTTATTTTTGGGAGTCAAGGGAATGTTTTCCTCTTGTATTGAGATCTTACTTACTGATGCAGTTTAGCACTGTAGTTTTTACAAATTACATGCCCTTGCCTAGAAACAGTGACAGGTGGGGTTGTACATTGAAAAATTAGTACCTGTCGGGAAAGCACAGTTTTACTGATGCCTGTTTTGCTGCTCTTTCCCTTAGCTCGTAGGTAGTGTAGTTCTGCATTAAATGTTGCCTTTTGCTCAGTCAGGGATGTGCAAACCACTTACACCGGCGTGGTGCCGCAGGACGGGAGAGTCGCAGAAGCTGGACCTCTCCTGGAGGCATGGCTGCTGCGTCACCCCTTGTTTTTATTGTGCACGTTCCTACCGTTGTTTTCTTTTATTCATAACAGCTTAGGAACACACATAGCAATGGCTTAGAAATCATTCCAGAATGAGAGAATAAATATGCATGGGTAAAAATCTCAAAGGCAGGAAAAAATTAAGGATGCTTTTCTTCCCCTTGGTGCAGGCATGACCTTCAGCGATAGAAACTCCATGTGTGCCCCAGATTTTCTGCTCCCCTACTTTTTCATGCCTAGGTGCTGCCAGGCTCTCAGAGCAGCGTGTCATGTTTTCTACATGATGCCATCACTTCAAACCGTGCAGTGAACTCATGGGTTTAGGGAGTCCAGCATCATTGTCTCTGAAGCTTTCAAAGCTTCGCTTTAGTTTTAAATGCCTCTTTAAGCACAGACAATGCTCCAACAGGCTTGCTGAAACTAAATGAAGCTTATAAAGCTTTGAACGCTATTGTAACATGGTGGGTCCCGCAGGAGACTGCAAAATCCCGCTGTGTGCAAGGATCCACCACGCTTTCAAGTGGATGCACTGTATGTGCTAAAAAATGTAGGCAGAGCAGGGCAAGGAAAGGACAGAGCATGTCAGCATATTTTTTTAATTACCTAGCATTTGATTGATACCACAATGGTAACACTGCTTTTTAAAATAAAAATGTTTACTATCCTTTCTTTAGTACACAGAGGAGTTTGGGATATATATATATGTATACTTGAGATTCCAGAGCAAGTGGCTTTTTTAAAATAGATTGCCTAACCACATTATTTTTCTTGTCAATCTTTCATAAACTGCATCATTATAATAACTTAATATTGTCCTACACTCATCAGGTCTTCTGTGTGATCACAAAACAAGCAAAGATGCTTGTTTTACCATGCAGATTTTTTCAATGAAAAATGCATGAGAAGGCAGCAAAGGAAAAAAGTAGGCCAGGTAAGTACCCTATTTTTCTGTCTGTGTTAAATCACAGCCTAGAAAGTCAAAGAGAGCTGGCAAAAATTCTGCTTGGAAACAAGAGCTTGATGTTTGTTATCCGCGGTAATGAGTACGGTGTCATTAACAGCTTATTGGGGCAGTGCCGCTGCCTGTTCGCTTTCCCGTCCTCAAAGCGGCGATGGATGGGCTGCTGACCCAGATTGGGCACGTTAAGACGAGAGCGATTCCTCCCTGACAAGCCCCAACAGTGACAACTGGTCATTAATTGTAAAAATTCTGCCAGTGTGTGGTTTTAGAAACAATTTGTACTTCTTTAATTACGCTGCCAGGGCAGGCTTTGTCCCAGACACTCTTATCAGGCCGAATTAGTCTTTTAAAGAATTAGGCTCAGCCCAGCTTGAGCTGCACTCACCATCTTTGCTAAAAATCTTTGCTAGGAATGGGGGGATGCAGTGGGGGAGTGCATGACAGTAATTGTCACCAGGAGGATGAGAGAAACTCTTGTTCCCAAAATGTTTTATTATTCTAATGATGCAGAGGGGCCCCAACAGATATTGCAGCCCTGCTCTGCCAGGAGTTACACAAACATTGAGATGGAAGGAGAGTCCCTGCTCCCAGAACACTGTCTGGCTAAGCAAGGCAGTGGGGCAAATGCCAGGGAGAAAAGGGAGGGCTGCTTATCTTCAGTTGTCACACAGGGAACTGAGCACAGACGTTTACGGCTGTACCCTGCCAGATCCTCTCTTGCTAATTTTTTTTTTCCCCTCCCCTTTTTTTCACCCACGAGCTGCTCTTTGGGGAACACATAGTCCTATGGCAGAGGCTGGGGTGGACTGAGCCCCTGGTGATCTGTCTGGTCACCTGGCAGTGGGTGTTTGAGGAAAGGCTGCCCCTTTGGTGAAGAATGAGCTAGCTGGGCAAGGAGATGACCCAAGTGAAGGCGTTAATCCCCTCTCCATCTCTCTTTGGGATTTGTAGCAAGCTGCACTTGCTGATAAGGCTGGCCCCGGGTGTGTGGGGTGGGTGTGGGTATGTACAGCCATGGGGCTGATAAAGCAGAACCTGGCAAAGGAGGGAGGCCACTGAGGAGGGTGAGGAGAGGCCCTGAGCTCCACTGGAGCCTGATGCAGACCCCAGGATGGGCACATTCCAGCTCATACCAACTGGGCTTGTCACTGCCGATTTCCCAGCTGGGGATGGCAAAGCGAAGGTAACACTCCAGAGCAAGCCGACCACTTCCCTGAGGCTTTTATAAAAATATATCACCTTTGGTGCAGACCATCTCTCAAACTGCATCTAATGGAAACATCTAAATAGATGACTTAACATTAAGCATTGACAGCATATGGTGCAATACATGACTGCAAATGAAATGATTGCATATTTCAACTAGGAAGGCTTCTGCTGGGCTCAGTTCCCCCAGAAATTACTTTTGCCTAGTGTTTCTGTGAAGTCTCACATCTTTTTTGAAAGGCAAATAGCTATTCCCATGCTGCAAGTAATGGGGATTTGTAATGGCATTTAGGGCTGGATTAATTTCTGTGTGCTTTATGATTTGCAGAAGTTTACAGCAGTATCTCCAGACTGCTGTAGGTAAAACTCAGCTCCTTTTCCTTGTAGTTCAAGGGCAAGGCAAACAATAAAAATAAATATTTCAGCAGCACATCCTAGTACTGAAAAAACAAGTCAAAGATTTTAAAGTATGACAGCACAGGGATTTGTTTTGCATGAATAGTAAGTATGTGTACAGCCTCAAAAGAATCTTCTCTAGCTGGAAAACAGCATCATCAGTAGGTCCGTGAGCTTTGGAAGACCACTGGCATATTTGCAGGTATCTGGGGGTTCTGCACAGTCCACACCAGGCTGACGTGCAGGACCATGCCCTCCCAGTGCATTATCTGACAAGTTCTTCATCCAAATATTTTAGCAGTTGTTTGCTTTTCCAGGTTGAGTGGGGCTCTGGACTAGTTAGTAATTTCTGAGGAACAGAAGATTACCGTGGTAGCCCATCAAAGAGGGCCAGCAGGGACATGCTGACAGACTTTGTTTCCCCCTGCGCACCAAGCTCCTTCTCACCAGTACAGGTCTGCAGTGAGACTAGAGGAGTGAGGTTGCTCTAAATAAAATGGAGCTGTGGCAGCGAGAAGATGGCAAATGTAGGTCGGATGCAGTTGGAAAGCTGTTGGTGGTGGTGCTGATGTGCGCGTAACCAGACGGTGAGGGATGTGTTGTTAGGAATGCCCAAGCTGCTTAAAGACGATGTGAGCAGAGAGCAGGGTTGCATTTCACATGCCAGCTCACTGCAGGCAGTGCTGTGGGTGAGGAGGAGCAACACAGCCCCTGTCATGCTGTAGAGAGAGGCAAAGCCTGCCTGGGGGAGTGTGGGGCCGGCACCCGCTGAGCGTAGCTGAGAGAAGAATGGGGCAGTGAGGGCTGCGAGACACTGGGGTCTCGGGTATCCTCCTGAGCAACCAAGGCCAAGAGAAGCCTGGAAGAACCCAAATATCCTTTCTCATGATTATAGAGCCTTACCTGGGAGGAAAAGCTTCACCCTCTGCTTCCCTCCTGTTCTGCCCACCCAGCATCGTCCCTGACCTGTTCTCCCCTGTGCTTTCAGTGGTTGGTGACAACTCTCCAGGTTTACCTGGGGCTGGCTCAGGAGCATTTCCATGTATATAGCAGTAGGTATGTTTCATTTCATCTCACATATAAAGAACAGTCCCAGGCATATTTTGCTGGTAAAGAGATGCACAGAGGCACAAGAGCAGGAATGTAATTAGGTTGCTTGCTCCCATCTGATGTCTTACACAACATGTATCTGCCCATCTGATTGCAACGTCTGCATTATGGCCCTGATTTCCTCCCAGTCCTGCCTGTTGCATCTGTAAAAGCCTTCAGAAAGCAAAGTGTTCAGCTGTGCCGTTTAGTTGAGATGCCTCTACCATGGCTGCAGAACGCTTCATTCCCCCTGCTCCCCAGCCCTTTCCAAAGCTGCGAACGTGCCCCTTTCCATGGGGAAGGGGGAACTGTCTCCCAGCTGAACCTTGTCCCAGTCTGGACTGCAGTTTAGACCACTTCGCTCGCCTAACATTTTTAAACCTGCTTAGCTAAACCAAGACAGTCTAGGAGAGTTTCCCTCTAAACTGCTACCTATGACCAGCCAGACACCCTAAAATGCAGTTGACTTTTAGACTCAGACAGGCAAATAATCATCAGCTCATGCTGGTATTGCTTTTTAAAAACTTGGCAAGAAAAAGCTAATGAGTTAAAATAATGCCAGTCTACAGCTCTAATGGTATTTGAACTGGGACCAGTTGCAGCAGTGATGAGAACAGTTCCCTACTGAATGCACAGCATGTTTATGGTGCCACACAGCCCTCGAGTGGGGTTGTCATACAGAGTTTATGCCAT